GATCGAATGTGTTGTAGTCTTGGTTGCGGGCCTGTTGCCTGGTGACCACTGGATGTGCTTCCTCAGTGGTTGTGGTTTGGGGCTCAAAAGCAGAAGTGAGCTTCCCCAAATAGTTTCCCAGTACCACCTCTTGTTCGTGTGTTTCTGTCTACCGAACGGGTAGCCATTCGGTAGTTTCTACACAAATTTACGGGCAGTGTGGAGGTCTCAGCGGTGTTTGTCTAGCCGATTGTCTGATTTGGGTTCCAGACACTCAACGGCAAAACACTGCTGTTCGGGAGTTTTAAAATGGCCGCCGCCACGTGTTCATTTCCCGAATGGCAGCCACCCAGAGGACAAAACACACATTACACGAATCACCAATTACCCGTTTGCAACATTGTTGCGAACGGTAATTGGAGGCACACTTCTTCCTGGGTGGTCTGGTTGTTCGTTAGTTTCACTCAATATAATGAACAGAGTGATTTTACCGAACAATCAGTTGAATGCTGCATACACATATATACATTTAACACAAAGCATATGAACATATAGAATTTTGAGGACAGCCCAATGCCCTCCGCTACAGGAAGATACGGTTTAATGCAGATTCCGCAGAACATATATATATATATATATATATATATGAAAAATAATTCAGAAAAGTCAAAACAGTGTCTGTGAGTTAAAATGGCCGCCATCCATTGTTCTCACCATGTGCTTCATCCATTGTTCTCACCATGTGTCTCTGATACATGAAATGGTGGCCACCCAGTAACTCCACAGTATGTCCCCAGGTGGTTCTTAAAGGGCCAGCAGCATAATAAAATACAGTATGCCCAAATCAGTTCCTTAACCCCTTAAGGACGGAGCCAAATGTACACGTTGTGAACGAAACAAAATGTAAACAAAACCTGGCATTTGCGCTACATGTCTGTCCAACCGTAATTCACCTCTTTCATATTAAATGCACCCACCCTTATTATATATCATTTTATTCAGGGGAAACAGGGCTTTCGTTTAATATCAAATATTTAGCTATGAAATATAATTTAATATGAAAAAAATGGGAGAAAATAAGATTTTTTTTGATTTTTTTTAGTTCTACATGACATTCTTACTGTCAATGTCATAATACTGTTTGCTTTTACTGCAATAAAATACACATATTTGTATTCAGCAAAGTCTCACGTGTAAAACAGTACCCCCTATGTACAGGTTTTATGGCGTTTTGGGGAGTTACAGGGTCAAATATAGCACGTTACATTTGAAATTGAAATTCGCCAGATTGGTTACGTTGCCTTTGGGACTTTATAGTAGCCCAGGAATTAAATTTACACCCATAATGGCATACCATTTGCAATAGTAGACAACCCAAGGTATTGCAAATGGGGTAGGTCCAGTCTTTTTGGCCAGTGTTTGTGACTAAGTGGCTACTAAAAAAGACTGGACATACCCCGTTTGCAATACCTTGGTTGTCTACTATTGCAAATGGTATGCCATCATAGGGGTAATTTTCATTATTGGGCTACCATAGGGTCTCAAAGGCAACATAACCAATCTGGCAAATTTTAATGTGAAAAAAATGAAACGCAAGCCTTATATTTGACGCTGTAACTTTTGAAAACACCATAAAACCTGTACATGAGGGGTACTGTTGTACTCGGGAGACTTCGCTGAACACAAATATTCGTGTTTCAAAACAGTAAAAAGTATCACAGCAATAATATCGTCCATGTAAGTGCTGTTTGTGCATGAAAAATGCAAAAAACTTCACTTTTACTGGCGATATCATCGTTGTAATACATTTTACTGTTTTGAAACACTAATATTTGTGTTCAGCGAAGTGTCCCGAGTAGAACAGTACCCCCATGTACAGGTTTTATGGTGTCTTGGAAAGTTATAGGGTTAAATATAGTGCTAGCAAATTAAATTCCCTTTACTTTTGGCATGGGTTGTCAGACAGGTCCCGCTAATTGTAATTAATTAAGATACCCAATTATGTAATATATATATGTAGAATTAATATATGTATATATATATACATATGTGAATATATATGTATATATATATAATTTTTTTTAAATATTTTTATTTATATATAGGTATATATATATATAGTGATATATACGTATATATTTATGTATATAGATAGATATATTATTTCGTTCTACGTGCATTTTGATATAAATATATATATATATATATATATATATTAATATCACAAAACAGTTAGAACGAAATAACACACATCTATATATTTTTTAATTATTTTTTTAATTATTTTTTAATTTTATTTTTTAACGTATTTACATATTTAATTTTTTATATTATATATAAATATATATATATAACAATAATTATATATATATATTTAATCAGTATCAGTCTACGTGTAATTTGATATTAATATATATATATAATTATATATATATATTAATAGTAAAATACACCTATACAGTGTACGTGTGTGTATGTATATGTGTATATATATATACTTAGATCATATATATATAATATATATATATGATCTAAATATATATTATTATTTTTTTACACTGATTAACTTTTATTTATTTTATTTTCAGCCAGCAGGGGGACCACCTGTCATTACAGGCAGTCCCCCTGCTGGCAATGCAGGAGGCAGCAACCCCCGGCCATGTGATTGTGGGGTCCTCGCAATGACCTCACTCTCACATGGCCGGGGGGCTTACAGGGGGTCGGACGTGCCGCGGGGGACTCCCTGGGAGTCCCTCCAACCGCGATTGCCAGTGACCGGGTAAGTACAGAAAGACCGGAGGGCGTACTATTACGCCCGGCGGCGTTTAGAGCCGCCTAAAATAGGACGTAATAGTACGCCATCCGGTCTTAAGGGGTTAAAGGGCAATACATCCCAGGGCCATAGTCACAGGGCAGGAGGCTGGCAAACAGGCCCCTCCAAAAACCAGTGGCGAGGTCACTTTCACCACAGAGAGGGCAGGAGGCTGGCAAACAGGCCCCTCCAAAAACCAGTGGCGAGGTCACTTTCACCACTGGAAGCTGGATCCGGGTCTTGGGTCCAGGGTGGGTGGATTTGCCTGCCAAGCTGTAACGCTGGACATGAGGACTACGGTGCTGATGGTGTCTGGTGGAGTGCTGGAAGTCCTCAGTGAGCACTAGAAGCAGTGATTGGCGGAAGCACCCGGTTGGGGTGCCAGGCGGTCCGTCACTGCTTCCTAGTGCAAGGATAAGCATTCTGGAGACCCTGTTTTTGGATTTATAATTGAGGGCAACGCTAGTACCCATACAGAGCCCCTAGCTGCAGCAATATGGAACCAGCTAGTTCCCGAACAGCATTCCCATATGAGGAGGAAGATGACCCAGGCTGGAGGGATGCAGCCCGGAAGGAAGTCTGGTATACCCTGGAGGGTATACAGCATCGGCGGGGCAACAGTCTCCCCAGTGAGGAGCAGCGGCTACAGATGCGAGTGGTGATGCGGATGCCTCTCCTGGGAGAGCAGCCTCTAGAGGAATGGGTGATGGGGCTCGAGAGCCTGGTTGGTCGACGCATACCAGGTGTTTTGGTGGTATACAATTCGGAATGCCCCCTGGATGGCTGAGCACGACAGGCCCGAGGGTGAGGATTAAAATGGCCCTGGCCTGTTGTGGGAGTCCTTTGCAGAACCGGAGTTTGGAAGTACTGGAGAGTCCCGATTCTGGGACATCTATGATTACAAGGAGGGCATGCAGGATTGGGATAACGTTAACGAGGTGAGACAAGACCTGACATCTCTGGCGACATTGAATATTCTCTTTGTTCAGGAGTGTATGTTCACCGAAAAGCACTCTCCTGGCTTGTCTGGGAAAGAAGTAGGTAGCAGTATGATTTTCCCGGGGTTCCTGAGGTCAGGTATCCAAATTAGAGTTCCACGCACTCGATGACAATGTACTGTTGCCTGCGTTCGGTGTGTATATATATACACCTTGTTTTCATGCCCGCAGAGATAGTACAGAAAGTACGATATCAATATATCTATCTATCTATCTCTATCGATATTTCCATCTCTTTCTATGGATATATTTATTAATATTTACCTATATCTATCGTTTTATATATATACACCTTGTTTTCCTTCCTGCAGAGATAGTGCAAAAAGTACGTAATGGTCAACGTCCATATTTCCGACCATCCGTGGACACAAGCTGTCACAGTGAAGAACTTGGGGTTCTGATGGAGCGTTGCTGGGCTGAGGAGCCGTTGGAGCGGCCAGATTTTAACCAGGTCAATGCATACATTTGCAAGTTCAACAAGTGAGGACCATTCTTTATCCTTTGTAGAATCTTTGGGGCAGCAGAGACGTGAGAGAGGTATAAAGTTGTTATTAAAACTTGTTTTTCACAGAGAAGGAAGAACCAGCATACTTGATAATCTACTGTCCCGTATGGAGCAATATGCAAATAACCTGGAGAAACTAGTGGAGGAGCGAACGCAGGCATATCTAGAGGAAAAACGCAAGGCGGAGAATCTGCTGTACCAGATCTTACCACAGTGAGTATACCATACAATCTGCACACAATGAGAGATAAGGGTGTCTTGAGGAAGTTGGGGGTGGGGGACAGCGCACACAGGACAGGAGTGTGGGTTCTATAGGTATAAAGTCAATTCGCCTGTAGAGGGGTAGGGTCAGGGCATAGGGAGGTAGGGGTTGGGGCACGACACCAGGGGTTGGGGTGGGGGCAGAAATGGGTAGGATACAGGGAGGGTATGTGTAACGGCACCCCCAGGCATAAAAGGGGTTAAAAGCCGTTTAGGAGATCTTCCCCTTCCAGAGACACAGGCACAGCTACTGCAGAACACCAATCCGCCGAACAGGAAACCATATGAATGCCATAAACAGCAGAATAGGAAAAACCATACGAATAGGTTTACACTCCTAGCAGTCGAACTGGAACAGCATACAATAAATCCCCCCAAGAACGAGACAAAGCTCTGTGTTGAGGGTCAAGCAGTGAACAGACAGAGCTGTGGGTTTATCTTTCTTATATACACATTAGTACCACCCACAGGGTTTTGGAAAACAACCAATAAACACATACAATACACTCAGACACTCCCACACAAAATCCTCCCCTCTGCCTGTGATTCAATTACCTTACACAATGGGTAATGTAATTATAACAAGCAGAGAAATACAATTTTTCCACATTATTCATAACTTGAAAAATATGCATCACATTCACATTATCCAAAATCATCCAAATTTGTCCAGTGGTTCACAAGATAGATCGTAGTCCTTTGTGACCAAAGGAAGCATGGCTTTTCTGCCCAAAACCAGTTCCACCGAGTCTTCTATCCTGGAGATAATTGGGAAGTAATCCAATTATCTCCAAGGACAGAGGCAAAACTCCATTGAACACATGGCAGCAAAAGACAATAAAACACATAAAAACATATAACTGTCAACTATTGCACAAAACAGGTACATTTAACATATCCCCAGATAGCTCAGATCTGAGCGCACATTATTACTGAATGGCGCTCAGAGCACACACATACAGTTCAATTGCCATGGAGCCAAAGTCTTTCCCATAGTCTTTCATTATATGAATGGGCTCCATGGCATAGCTATCTGGGGTATCACCGCTCAAACAGGGCAAGCACCGAATGACCCGGCTTTCATCTCTTCACAGGGGAAAAGCAAGCGTTTCAACATGGGGCCATAGTCCAAAGGTAACAGGCGAGCAACCAGGCTTCTCCAATGCAATGTGGCGAGATTGGTCTTGTCACAGTATGAATGGGTCAGGGTGCAGGGAGGTAGGAGTGGGGGCAAGACACAGGGCATAGGGGTTTGGGCAGGACATAGGGGGTAGAAATGGGTAGGATACAGGGAGGGTATGGATGGGTCAGGGTACAGGGAGGTAGGAGTGGGGGGCAGGACACGGGGTAGGAATGGGTAGGATACAGGGAGGTAGGGGTGGGGGCAGGACACAGGTGGTAGGAATGGGCAGGACACAGGTGGTAGGAATGCGAAGGATACAGTTGGTAGGGGTGGGGACAAGACACAGGTGGTAGGAATAGGGAGAAGCAGCAGAAGTCCACAATTAGCTCTGTGTGTTTTATTCAGTTCTGTTGCAGAGCAGTTGAAAAGGGGGGAGACGGTCCAAGCGGAAGCATTTGACAGTGTTACCATTTACTTCAGTGACATTGTAGGGTTCACATCAATGTCTGCGGAGAGCACCCCAATGCAGGTAATATCACAACCATTCCTTATTTATCCTTATTGTTTGTGTAACAAAGCCCGGATCAACATGCGCACTCCTAGACTTACCACGCAGACTGTCTCAGGATATAGAAAAGATTAGATTTACTTTAGAGTACTCGGCCGGGACAGCGCAGTCTCATAATTGTCACACTCAGATCAGCTGCAAAATATATTTCATTTATTATTTAATTTCACCAGATAATATCTGTCTATCAGCAAGGTTTACCATTAATTCAGCCAAAAAACTCCCATAGTATGCTTGCTAACTCCACATACTGACCCCCCATAGTGTGCTCTCTGACCCCCCCATAGCATGCTCTCTGACCTCCCATAGCGTGTTCTCTGACACCCCATAGCGTACTCTACCATAGTGTGCTCTCTAAACCCCCATAGTATTCTCTCTGACACCCGCATATTGTGCACTCTGACCCCCCGTAGCATGCACTCTGACCCCCAGTAGCGTGCTCTCTGACCCCCCAGTACAGTGCTATCTGACCCCCAGTAGCATGCTGTCTGACTCCCAGTAGCATGCTCTCTGACTCACCGTAGCGTGCTCTCTGACACCCGCATATTGTGCACTCTGACCCCCCGTAGCATGCACTCTGACCCCCAGTAGCGTGCTCTCTGACCCCCCAGTACAGTGCTATCTGACCCCCAGTAGCATGCTGTCTGACTCCCAGTAGCATGCTCTCTGACTCACCGTAGCGTGCTCTCTGACCCCCGGTAGCGTGCTCTCTGACTCCCAGAATGATGCACTCATTTCATGTTGGTGGATACACAAATAATTATTTCTCTTGTTTATGAATATAATTGCAGTGTATTGCACAGTGCTGGGTACACTGAGTGATAAATACGGATTATCTGTAAGGTCTTCCTCTCTTTACAGGTGGTTACGTTACTCAATGATCTCTATACCTGCTTTGATGCCATCATAGATAACTTTGATGTTTACAAGGTAAGTAGGACATCAGCTGGGCACCATGCAAACAGCAGAATAATTATTTCTGAATACAATAATACGCGTGTTCTCCGAGATACTGTGTATCTGTTTTATATTGTCATAATATAGTGTGTCCCTGTTACACTGTGAATGTTGCTTATACTGAGAAGGAGAGATTCGTCCATTAAATCCCTCGGACACACTGTATTGGTGAGCCCTCCATTTATACCACCACAAAGACCATTATAAGACTCTAGGGTCTCAATATCATTGTTTTGAATAAGAATCAGAAATTATCCCTGTACCCCGGCTGGGTACTTCTGCCAAGCTCGCTTCCTAGCTGGAACCAGGACACCTGAAGCACTTTAGCCCCAGCTTGACTGGGGTCCTCCTAGAGCTTTTGCACCCAACCAGGCTGCTGCTCTCCTTCTAGGCAAGTATCGTCCTCTCCGCTGCAGTCTTTCTTCCAGGCAGGTATCGTCCTCTCCGCTGCAGTCTTTCTTCCAGGCAGGTATTGTCCTCTCCGCTGCCGTCTTTCTTCCAGGCAGGTATCGTTTGCTCTGCTCACAGTGATTATAGTTATTGCAGCTCTCAGGCTTAGCTCTCTTGCTTTATCCCAGGGCTAGAGGGATCATATTGCCAGCCAACAGGTCCAAAAACTGTCACTGAGATTCCTAAATATTCCCACAGAACACCCACCTTCAAATGGAACTATATTTTTCTTGGGAGTAGCCCATATGATCATTACATTTATATTGCTGTGACAAACATAATAAAATTAAAATAACCAAAACTTGTCAGAAAGCATACAGAGAATTATAATAACACAATAACATATCTACAAAGGGTTAGGGAAGTCAATAATCAACACAAAATAGCTCTCAATAATCTCAAAATAATCTACCCTAATATGCAATGCTAATTAGCAAGCCTTGCCATTCAGGTAGTGCATACAGCAGTTGCTAGATCCTTGCAACCAACAGGTGGCGCTGTACAAGCTCCACAATCAAATCCACCTAGTTGATTGCAAGCAATAGCAAGACAGGAGAGCACACTAACATTTAACATTAAACAATTACATTGCACAAACCCTGCACCCACAATTGGTACAGGGTGACTTAAACATAGGAGTCATCCAGGGATCTAATTAAAGTGTTCATCATATTCTCCAAGTGAAGGAGATTTCTAAACTTTTGAAATTATTTATCTACAAAAATCCCCATATAGACATTTGTTAGAATTTTTCAAATGATTTATCTACAGATTGTTTGTAATTGTCTCATTTATTGTTAAATGTCCCCTTTGTGAAGCGCTGCGGAGTACATAGGAGCTATAAATGCCAATAATAATAGTAATGTAGGCACACACTTTTGGAAACCCTCCCTCTAAATACAAACCCTATAATATTTTTTTCTAGGGTTTTTCGATTTAATTATTAATACATATAATTGTAATAATAATAATGACTCAGGTATAGTTATCCATGTAAGTGTGTGAAATAATTAAAAGAAATGCTGGCCATTAAATGCAGTAAATCTTTAATTATGGGTGTAAATGTTTGTGTTTCATTTTATGTTTACCTGTATAGGAGTGTGTGCGTGTGTACATAAGAGAATGACTCAGTGAATGAGTATATATCTGTGTGTCAGTGTGTTTGTAGTAGAATGTTAGTGTGTGTCAGTGTGTCTGTAGTAGAATGTCAGTTTGTGTGTATCAATGTGTGTGCGTAGTAGACTATCAGAGTGTGTGTCAGTATGTGTGTCAGTGTTCATGTGTTATTGTGTATGTGTTTGTCAATGTATGTATATAGTAGAATGTCAGTTTGTGTGTATCAATGTGTGTGCATAGTAGAATATCAGTGTGTGTGTCAGTATGTGTGTGCAGTAGAATGTCAGGTATGTGTCACTGTCTGTGTCAGTGTTCATGTGTCTTTGTTTATGTGTGTGTAAATGTATGTATATAGTAGAATGTCAGTTTGTGTGTATCAATGTGTGTGCATAGTAGAATATCAGTGTGTGTGTCAGTATGTGTGTCAGTGTTCATGTGTTATTGTGTATGTGTGTGTCAATGTATGTATATTGTAGAATGTCAGTTTGTGTGTATCAATGTGTGTGCATAGTAGAATATCAGTGTGTGTGCAGGGCCGGTGCAAGGATTTTTGCCGCCCTAGGCAAAAGTAAAGTTTGACGCCCCCCTCCTCCCCCCCGTGACATCGCAATGCCCCACCCATATGACCTGCCATGTTAACTAACGCTAGTGCTGCAGTGCCGCTGTGTTTACATTAAAAGGCCTGCAGGGACAGGCTATGGATACCAGGACCACTACATTAAGGTGCAGTGGTTCTGGGGACTATAGTGTTTCTTTTAATGTGAGGTACTAGAGATTAGTGCCACTTAATAATATACTAGATTGCCTACTTACAAGCAGATGAGGATGATGATGGGCCTTGAAGCTGCAGTCTGGCTCCACTGGGTCTGGGTGTATAACAGGATCTCTGAGTGCTGTTTGTAACTGTGGTCACACAAATCAATGTTCTGGGAGAACGAGAAGTAGTTCCATTTTTGGGGCCTTTACACAGCTCAAGGTCTGGGTCCCAGGGTCCACCTTCATGTTCCACCAATGAGTTTGTTCACAGGGGGTGGAGTGTGTAGGGGATGTCCTGATGTGTGTAAGGAATGCATTGTGTGAATCTGTGTTTGTATGTGTAAGGGCTGCGAGGTGTGTTTGTGTATGTATGGGATGCATTGTGTGAGTCTGTAAGGGATGCATTGAGTGTGTGTAATGAATGCATTGTGTGTTCCTGTGTGTGTAAGGGATGCATTGCTTGTGCATGTGTGTCTGTGTGTGTGTAATACATTGTGTGTTTTTCTGTGTGCAAGGGGTGCATTGTGTGTGATTGTGTGTATGTGATGGATGTCAATTTCCTTCTCCCCCCGTCAATTTCCTCCCCCCCCTCCAATTTCCTTCTCCCTCCCTCTCCAATTTCCTTCTCTCCACCCCTCTCCAATTTCATTCTTCTCCCCTGCTCTCCAATTTCCTTCTTCTCCCCCGCTCTCCAATTTCCTTCATCTCCCCCCTCCAGTTTCCTTCTTCTCCCCCCTCTCCAATTTCCTTCTTCTCCCCCCTCTCCAATTTCCTTCATCTCCCCCCCTCAGTTTCCTTCTTCTCCCCACTCTCAGTTCCTTCTTGTCCCCCCTCTCAGTGCCTTCTCCTCCCCCCTCAATTTCCTTTCCCCTCTACAGTTTCCTTCTTCTCCCCCCTCAATTTCCTTCTTCTCCCCCTCTCAAATTTCCTTCTCCCCCCCTCTCCAATTTCCTTCTCCCCCCCTCTCCAATTCCTTCTTCCCCTCAATTTCCTTCCTCCCCCCTCATCCCAATTCCTTCTTCTCTTCCCTCTCAATTTCCTTCTTCTCCCCCCCTCCTCCAGTTTCCTTCTCCTCCCCCCCCTCTCAATTTCCTTCTTCTCCCCCCTCTCCAATTTCCTTCTCCTCCCTCCTCCAGTTCCTTCTTCTCCCCTCTTTCCAATTTCCTTCTTCTCCCCCCTCTCCAATTTCCTTCATCTCCCCATCAGTTCTTCTTCTTCCCCCCCTCCAATTTCCTTCTTCTCCCCCTCCCTCCCTCTCTCCAATTTAGTTCTTCTCCCCCTCTCTCCAATTTCATTCTTCTCCTCCCTCTCCAATTTCCTTCTTCTTCCCCTCCCCCTCCCTCTCCAATTTCCTTTTTCTCCCCCTCCCTCTCCAATTTCCTTCTCCCCCTCCCTCTCATTGCCTTCTCCCCCCCTCCAATTTCCTTCTTCTCCCCCCTCTTCAATTTCCTTCTCTCCCCCCCTCTCAATTTCCTTCTCCCCGTCCAATTTCCTTCTCTCCCCTCTTCAATTTCCTTCTCTCCCTCCTCTCCAATTTCCTTCTTCCCCCCTTCCAATTTCTTTACCCCCCCCACCTCTGTAGTAGCGTGGCCGAGCTCTGTATGGTCCGTGGGTACAGGGAGCTTTTGTTTCCTGTACACGGCTGGACTAAAAGGAAGTGCACACTGAGTGTGTACTTCCTGTTAGTCCGGCCGGGTACAGGAGACAGATGCTCCCTGTACCCGTGGACCATACAGAGCTCGGCCACGCTACATTGAGGGAGCTGACAGGAGGGAGCGCTGAGCACTTCCCTCCTGTCAGCCCCTCTCCTCATGCTGCACCTGGGTGGTGCGGTCCGCCCTCATGGACGCACCATCCCAGGCAAAGCTGCAGCCGCCTGAGGCTCTCTACAGAGCGCTCGGGCGGCTGCAGCATGAGGGGGGCCGGCGCTCCTGGCGGCACCCCTTCCCAAGGGGCGCCCTAGGCAGCTGCCTAGTCTGCCTAACAGGTAGCGCTGGCCCTGAGTGTAATAAGTCTTAAATAAAGTGCAATTAGTGCTGATAAGTGTGAACAGTGTAGTTATTAATGTATAGTTAACACCTACCTAAATGGCAAATTAACTAAAGTGTTATAATTATATAATGCAGAAATAGATGTGAATGCAGGTATATACTTGTACAAAGTGCAAAGTGCATTTTAATGATACAAATTAGAAATTGTTAGGCAGGGGCAGGTAAGGGAAAAGCATATATAAAAATAGATACTAGAGAATGAAGAGACAGTTATAGTTTGAGCAAAAAAGTTCAAAAAGACCATTCAAGAGAATTGAGATCAAAAATTAAAATCAAAACTTAAAAACACTTGCTACAAGTGACTTATATGAATGAATGATATGAAATAATTTCATTCAGTCCTTTAGGGGCTATGGTATCCAATATATAAATCCAAAATGTCTCTCGATTTAGGAGAAGTTTGTTTCTGTCACCACCAAGTTGTGGCCGTTGTATGTGATCTATAGCCACAAACTTAAGTGCTGAAAGTGGATGTTGAAGGGCGACAAAATGCTTGGCAACTGGTTGATCAGAGGTTCCACCACGGTAGACCACACGTATGCTCGATTTGTGGCCCCTGATCCTCTCACATAAAGGTGTCTCGGTTTTACTGATATATGAGAGTCCACAGGGGCAAGACCGTTTATAGACCACATAAGGAGTCTAGCAAGTAATGGTATAACATATCTGAAAAGACTTGTTCCTATGTGGGTGCTGAAAGGTACGGGATGGGGTCACAATCCAAACAATGAATGCTCCCCCGATTTTGTGCTTCGGTATTTTTTTCATAGCTTTTTGTCGGATCAGTATCCCTTAGATTTTTATTTCTTCGATAGCAAATGAGGGGGGTTCTTTAAACACTTTGGGGAGTGTGTCATCACATGCCACCATCTTTCAGTTGTCCTTGATCATTTTGGAAATCACTGGGGACGCATCGTGGAAATTTACAGGAAAGACTAACCTTGGGATTTCTTTATCCACTCTAGTCGAGCAGGCAGATTTGCCTCTTCTCGTGCTCTAAGTCATCGGTAGCCACGTTCAAGGAATCTCTCCATCATATCCCCCAGTTGTTCCTCCATTATATTTACATCCGAGTTGTTGCGGATCACTCTCAAGAATTGAGCTTAAGGTAATGATCTTTTAAATATCATAATGATAATAATAATGCCTCTGGGTGTGCGCTTGTATTATGCAAGATGGTATTGCGATCCGTAGATTTCTTGTAGAGACAATATGCTATCCCCTGTTCATTAATAGAAATCTCCAAGTCCAAGAATTGGACAGATGTGGAGTTAATATTCGATTTGAATCTTATAGGACTTTCCACTTGGTTTAGGAATTGTACCATTTCCGTAGCCTCCGTTATGCTGCCACCCCAGAATATCAGCAAGTCGTCAATGTACCTAAAGTAGCCTTGAATGTACTGGCCATACTTAGATAGGATCCAATGTTGCTCATATATGTACGCGTTAGCATACATGGGGGCCATTGCCACCAGCATAGATGTGCCCGAAGTTTGAAGGTACCATCTGTCTTCGAATCTGAAGTAGTTGTTACTTAACACAAGAGAGTAGTTCGAGAACAAACTGTAAGGACTGTTCTCTATGCCTTGTCTGTGCGGAATTACCGTATAAAGGCTACTCACATCCATAGTAATAAGTACTGTAGTTCCCCTCAAGTTGTAATGAGGCGGGACATATCCTTTATACATGTACTGAGTTCAGCTATGGAAGCTTGGAATAAAGAATCAAGTCACTTGGCAATAGGTTCCAGAAGTCCATTCTTTCGCCGAGACGATAGGTATGAAACCTAATTTAATATAAATAAAATATCAAATGGGAGAAAATAAGAACTTTAAAACATTTTTTAGTTCTACATGACATTTTAACTGTGAAGGTCATAATACTGTTTGCTTTTACTGCAATAAAATACACATATTTTTATTCAGCGATGTCGCACGTGTAAAACAGTATCCCATATGTACAGGTTTTATGGTGTTTTGGGAAGTTACAGGGTCAAATATAGCATGTTAAATTTTTCTGATTTTTCACATTGAAATTCGCCAGATTGGTTATGTTGCCTTTGAGACCATATAGTAGCCCAGGAATGAGAATTACCCACATGATGGCATACCATTTGTAAAAGTAGACAACCCAAGGTATTGCAAATTGGGTATGTCCAGTCATTTGTAGTAGCCACTTAGTCACAAACACTGGCAAAAGTTAGTGTTAATATTTGTTTGTGAGTGAAAAATGCAAAAAACAAATTTGATCGCCAATTTTGGCCAGTGTTTGTGACTACTAAAAAAGACTGGACATACCCCATTTGCAATACCTTGGGTTGTCTACTATTGCAAATTGTATGCCATCATGGGGGTAATTTTCATACCTGGGCTACCATACAGTCTCAAAGGCAACATAAACAACCTGGCGAAATTCAATGTGAAAAAAACGGAAACACAAGCCTTATATTTGACTCTGTGACTTTTGAAAACACCATAAAACCTGTACTTGAGGGGTACTGTTATACTCGGTAGACTTTTCTGAACACAAATATTAGTGTTTCAAAGCAGTAAAACGTATCACAACAATTATATCGTCCGTGTAAGTGCCATTTGTGTATGAAAAATGCTACAAATTTCACTTTCACTGACGATATCATCGTTGCAATACATTTTATTGTTTTGAAACACTAATATTTGTGTTCAGTGAAGTCTTCCTGAGTAAAACAGTACCCCCCATTTACAGGGTTTAAGGTGTCTTGGAAAGTTACAGGGTTAAATATAGTGCTAGCAAACTAAATTACCTGGACTTTTGGCCTGGATTGTCAGGCAGGTCCCACAAATTGTAATGAATAAAAATACCTAATTATGTAAAATTATTACATAAAGATATATATATATATATTGTGAGCGTAAAAGTGGAATTGTGGTTGATGGAAGATACATCAGGCCTGATTTGCTAAACAGCAACCTGAGAATTTTCAGTTAAATGCCCCAGGGAGAGATGTTAGAGTTTGCAATCTACATTGCTGAGGTTCTGCAAAACATGGTATGGGTCCCTGGGGCGGAGTATTTGGAGAGCAGGGTGGGCCAATGCTCCAACAGCACTAGTTGCTGTGTAACAGACCACAATTTAGATCTGACTTAAGTTAACTAATTGGCACTCACCTCTAGCTAGTCAATTAGTAGACAGGCCTTTAAAAGAAGAGGGCAGCCTGCTGCAGAGTGAGGAAGAAAAAGACAGCTAGGAGAGTGAACGACAATTGTGTTTATTGCAAAGCCATTTCTTTTGTTTGGAAAATTGGTAAGTGGGAAAGCCACCCAATAACAAATAGTAATTCCTGTCTAGTAAGAGCTCAAGTAAGAGCAAAGGATTTTGTTTTTTTGTTATTATTTAAAGCACCTGTTTTCTTATTGAATAAAAAGGAAAACCGAGCTGAATGTGTCCTGGACTTTGTATACCCTAGAAGGCTGTAGTTACTGCAAGATCTGTGACAATCCTACCTGTAAAAGAGGTGGTTTGTTACTATATATATATATATCTATATATATATATATATCTATATATATACACACACACCCTGTTCCAAATTATTATGCAAATTCTATTTAAGTGTCACAAAGATTAAATATTTTGTTTTTCAGTTTAACTCATGGATGGCATTGTGTCTCAGGGCTCTTTTGATCACTGAAAACAATCTCGGACACCTGTGATAATTAGATTGCCAGGTGAGCCCAATTTAAGGAAAAACTACTAAAAAAGGTTGTTCCACATTATTAAGCATAGCACCATTTTCATGCAATATGGGGAAGAAAAAAGGATCTCTCTGTTGCCGAAAAGAGTGAAATAGTTCAATGTCTTGGACGAGGTATGAAAACATTCGATTTTTAAAACTTAAGCGTGATCATCGCACTATTAAGAGATTTGTGGCTGATTCAGAGCACAGATGGGTTCGTGCAGATAAAGGCACATTGAGGAAGATTTCTGCCAGATCCATGCATCGGATCAAGAGAGCAGCTGCTAAAATACCATTACATAGCAGCTGGTGCCTCTGGAGTCCCATGGACATCAAGGTGTAGAGTCCTCCAGAGTCTTGCAACTGTGCATAAACCTTCTATTTGGCCACCACTAACCAATGCTCTCAAGCAGAAACGGCTGCATCGGGCAGAAAAATACACAAAGACTAATTTTTAAACAGTCCTTTTCACTGATGAGTGCCGTGCAACCCTGGATGGTCCAGATCGAAGGAGTAGTGGATGGTTGGTGGATGGCTACCCTGTTCCAACAAGGCTGCAACGTCAGCAAGGCAGTGGTGGAGTCATGTTTTGGGCCGGAATCATGGGAAGAGAGCTGGTCGGTCCCTTTAGGGTCCCCGAAGGTGTAAAGATGACCTTTGCAAAGTATGTGGAGTTTCTGACTGACCAATTTTTCCCTGGTACAGAAGGAAGAACTTTGATTTCCGTAATAAAATCATCTTCATGCATGACAATGCACCATCTCATGCTGCAAAGAATACCTCTGAATCAATGGCTGCTATGGGGAGAAAAGGAGAGAAAGTCATGGTGTGGCCTCCATCCTCCCCTGACCTCAATCCTATTGAGAACCTTTGGAGCATCCTCAAGTAAAAAATCTATGAGGGTGGAAGGCAGTTTACATCCAAACAGCAGCTCTGGGAGGCTATTCTGACATCTTGCAAACAAATTCAAGCAGAAACTGTCCAAAAACTCACAAGTTCAATGGATGCAAGACTTGTGAAGCTGCTATCAAATAAGGTGTCAGGGAGCCACAGGCGGCGAGGAGGGGAGGCTGCATGCCACTTGCAGCACTCACCCTCAGTCCATCGCCGCCCGCGGTCTCCTCTCTGCTTACCTGTCGGCGAGCGGCGTCTCCTCTGTGCCGCTCGCCGCCAGCGTCCTCCACGCCCCCCAGCGGCAGCATGTATAACGCTGCACGCTGGGAGGTCCAGGAGTTAAGTAAACGCCGGGGTCACGTGAGTGACCCGGCATTAAAGAAACAGTACCACAATCACAGTGGGGGGTATAGATATCCCCCACGTGTGATTGTTAATTCTGATTGGAAGTTATCCAATCAGAATTAAACCTAGGGTATTTATACTTACCTTTCCTGTCCCTCAGTGCCCTGTTGTGGTCTTGTGATACCTGTAGTGTAGTGTTCTCGTCTTGCTCTCTGGTTACTGATTATTTGGCTCGTTATTCCGATTATCCTGTCTTCTCCACTCCTTTGACCTCAGCTTGTTTCTCGTTCTCCCGTTTTCTGGCTCCCTTTACCTGGCTTGTCTCCTGACTATTCTTAGCGTGCTTAGCCCGGCCACTCTAAGGTCCGGTACGGCACCTTTTCTGTGTGTGTGTGTGTGTCAGCGTGTTAGGTTCCCCGAATCGTGACATTACAACAGGGCCACCATGGAACCTGCTGACATTCCACAGCTGTTAGTTAATCAGGAGGCTAGAATGGACGGTTTAGACCACCGTATGGATCAGTTTGCCCAGGCTTTACAAACCATACTGGCTCGTACTGCCCACTTGCAACCTGCCGTCCAAGAAGCTGTTGCTGCTGTGCCAGAACCCATTCCTGATCCAGTACCCGCTCCTGCTCACGTGGTTCACATGACGCCACCTCAGCGCTATAGCGGTGATCCAGCATTGTGCCGTGGTTTCCTCAACCAAATTGATATTCATTTGGTGATGAATCCTCGTTCCTACCCCACTGACAGAACCAAAATTGCTTTTTTGATTAACCATTTGTCCGGGAAAGCACTAGCATGGGCTAATCCCATGTGGGAGAATACGTCCCCAATGTCCTTTTCAGACTTCTTAACAGCTTTTAAACGTACGTTTGACCAACCCGGCCGGGTTGCTTCTGCTGGCAAAGCTTTGCTTAGGGTGCGACAGGGTAATAGATCAGTAGCGGATTTTAACATTGAATTCCGTACTTTGGCAGCTGAAGTGGTCTGGAATAACGACGCTCTCGTAACAGCTTTTCAGGAGGGTTTGGCTGCTTACATATTAGATGAGATAGCATCCAGGGAAATGCCTGTTCTTCTGGATGATCTAATAGATTATGTCATTCTAATTGACAACCGTATCAGAGAGAGGCGTAGTCAAAGGAGGATGAATACACAGGGGTTGCCTGCTTTACCCAGTACTGCATTGCTAGCATTACCTCCCCCTAATCAACCACCTCTCGAACCCATGCAATTAGGTGCTGTAGGCTTATCTGAAGCTGAAAGAACGTACCGCAGAAGGGAGGGTTTGTGCCTTTATTGTGGTAAGAGGGGGCATCTCCGAAGAAACTGTCCTAGTTTGCAGGGAAACTCCAGCACCTAAGGCCTAGAAAGGGGTCGGCCTCGGGTGTTATGGTTTTTTCCCCTCATACGTCCATCTATAGACCATTTATAACGGTTTCTCTTTTGGTCAATAAA